TGCATGGATGCTTGCATGCTTGCGTGCATGTTCGTATTTTGCATGTATGTATAAATATACGTATGTACCTATGTATGTAGGTATGTATGTAGGCATGTAAGTATGTATGTATGCATGTCTACATGTATATGGCTGCATGCAGCCAGAGACTGTTTGCCTCCCTATCTATCCAGCTGTCGATTTCTGCCTGCCTAGTCAGCTACCGGACCTACTTACCTAGGTAGGTTGGCAGATTTGGGCAGTGGGTAGATGTAGACATGTTCGTGCATTCGTGTACACACAACAAGCAGAACACTTACATGCCTGTCCAGTGTCGGATGGTGTTCTTCTGTCTGTGTGAATTCAAATCTGCGAACTGCTACGAATTCTCAGCCAAAACATTTCAAAACCTCTCAAAACCAAAACCCTGAGGCTCATTTAGAGTCTGCTAGAAAAACTTACATAGTATGGGCCCGTAGAGCCAACTGCAAACCCAGGCGGATCTACACCCCAAGCGGACGGCGGTTCTCCCACTGGGCTTTGGACTTCCCCTTGCGAGGCAGCGGTTTGGGGCTTTCGGTGTCGAGTTTACGGGGCATCGCTTACAAGGTTTCAAGTTTCAAGACCAGCATGTCAGATTGAGAATTCGGGTAGGGGGTTCCCGGAGAAGAATGCGGAACTGAGGGAACTACAGCGAGTGTTTTCTGCATAAATGTTTGCAAGATATTTGCTGTTGCACACCCCGGCTGAACAGAGGAGTCTTGCTTTCGGAAGCTCCTGTAATTTTAGCTGATAGCTTTAAGTGGGGCCCTGCCTTAAAGTAGCTCTGGTTTGAGCTTTCTGCAGGTTTACCTGCATCCATGCTTTCGAAGGAAGGTTTCAATGCAGAATGTCTCATGCGGCCTCCAAGTACAGCACAGCTTCAGGATATTGGCATATGGAAACATTCCCGGGTTTCAATCCCTGAGCCCGAAGCCCGTGAACCCTGGACAGGTCACGTTTCGCCCTAAACCACTTAACTCACTTATCTCCACGCCCCACATTCGAGCATTCTGTCATTCGGGACTGCTGCTGTGGACCTCGGGAGTTGCATTTGGCATTTGGCACTCATGGGTTTGAGGCTCGTGCTGTCTGCAAGGTTCAGGGCTTCTGTTCTGGGTTTGGGTCAAATTTGTCGCAGATCGTGGGGACCGGCCCGAGTGGTACAGAGTTTCGTTTTGCAGAGATGTCACACCTGGGGGGGGTACTTGGATGCAGAGCCGAAGCTTCGCAGGATTTAGCCAGGGTTCTGCAGAATTTTGAAGGATGTCCCATTTTTGAAATCCCTCTGATACGATTCCAGAAGAACTACGGCCCAAATCCCATTTTAAGGCTCCAAAATGGAAGTTCCAGCTTTGGCTGGGACATGAGCCCTCTGAATCGAGCTTATAGCTATCCCTTTAACCCCTAACCCCCGAGTTGCTTTAGACTTGAGGTTTGGGGCAGCCGTAGAGCAATCTTAAAGGTCTTCTGCCCCCATTGCCTTAGATCCTTATTGTATTCATATCCTCATCACCCCCCCTCGCTTCATGACCCTGGACTCTGAACCTTTGAATATGGCAGCTCAACATACAATTCCAAAGTTCCTATCCAACATCCTGATTACTATCCAGAGAATCTGTTTTTGTGTTGTTCTATTAACCAGAGATGTCGGAGCTTTTACTTATACATTCCCTGTGGTCTCAATACACGTGCTGTTATAACAGGCACCGGAATCCTGCTCTGTTCTTGTTCTTATCGATTGTTGTTACTCTTGCTCGTACTATTACAGGTACTTCGTCGTTGTTGGTTTTATGTTTGTTTACTGTTCAGACATGGTGAAGGCCTGAATTCACAGTGCTTCTGCAGACTTGTCTGGAAAGACAGACTTTCTTCGAGCTTCACATGCCCTAGGGCTCGCAGGTTACTACTGGTACGATAATATGTAGCCGTGTAACCCACTATTTAGGTAGCTGAAGCCCCAGAGATGCTTAAGGTTCTCCCCCTATGTTCCGAGGCTCACCGCTCGTTACTTCGGCGGGGACCTGCGGCTTCAGACGGTGGTCGGGCACGGTACCAACGCGTGCGCCAACAGCGCACAAACGTGTGTGTGTACACATATAAAGTGTATGTTTATGTGCATGCATATAGTTTTTTTTGTACTGACATATGTATCGGGGCCTGAATAATTTCTTACGATCATTCCGGGGGTGGTTGTGCAAGGTTTCGGCTTCAGGATTGTAGGTTTGGACTGTGTGGTGGCGTTTGTTGCCTCGAGCGCATCGTTGGGCTTATGGTGGGGGTCACATGCGAAGCATGTAATTAAACCAGTCCTGCAGCCGTGCATGGCTTGAATCTGATCGCTACAACCCTTTGCGGTAGGGGTTCCGGCATGCAAAGGTCTCGACGGCCTCAAAGCGATTAAGCCAAATAAAGCTGCGCAGTTTGAACAAACCATGCACAAACATTATATAAACCCTAAGTCGCCAACCCTATCAACCCTATACTGCACTAAAGGCGCCCTTGAAGCATACCCTGAAGGAACTCTCAGCCCTTAACACCAATTATGGAGAGCTCATGTTGTCCTTAAGCGAAACCTGACATTCACATCATTACAGGCACCCTTAAAGGACGCCGTGAAGAACTCTGAAAGAAGCTTTAAAGCCTCTGAGGAACCCGAAGCCCCAATCTGTCAGGTACTAATTTTGGGCAGTTCTCGATCCAAATTGCTGTGTTTTGACACAACAAAGTTCATAAAACAGAAAACAAAGATTCTGATGCAAGTGATTCAGATATGGAAAGTTTCAGTGATGACAATGATAGTAGTGAAACCAAAATTTGTACTAAGGAAAGTTTGGCTAACACATAGAAATAATACAAATGAAGATTGAAGGGTAAGCTTTGCCGTATGACGGCGGCCTAGCCTAAAGAAATCTTAGAACCCAAAACTTGTAACCTAAATGAGCACTCGACCCAAAACCCCCTTGCTATGGTGGGTTCAGGTACATTCACATCCCGGAGCTCCAACGAGAGGGAGACTTCCCAGTCTCACTCTGAAGGTGCTTTCAGGGAAAAACAGGCTCTGGAGAGCTTGGTTGGGGCGCTCAGTTTTTTTTTCGGGCTTTGTAAGGGCTCTACAGGGTTTTTAGGGGGGCTCTGTCGGGTTTAGGCTTTTTAGTATAGCCCTTAAGGGCCTAGCAAAGGGTTAGTGGGAGCTTCTTGGATTTTGGAGCTCCCTTTGGGGTCCGTTTCATAAGGAGCTAGCCTATTGTTTGGGGCTGTTAAACATAGGGCTCTATTTTTTCCCCTCGGCCTAGATTCAAGGCCCCTATATGAAATACTGAGTGAAAAGCTGGCTTTAGTAACAGTTAGAGCTAGCAAGTATAAATTGAGGTCTTCGGCTCGTTCTTCCCCACATGCCAACCAGACCCTCTTAGAATGTGTGACGTTTTGTTCGGATGTCGGGGATTGTGTCTTGCTAAACTAAGGAGCATCGTAAATCGGATTCGATGCGTGCCGGTAGGGCCTGAGTCCCTGTTCTGAGTTCGACGTTCCGTCAGGGTGTTGGTAGGGAAGAAGGACTGTTGATCATCATAATGATGCGGGGTTGAACCGGCTTAGGTAACCCAGCAAATCCTTGCCATCCGAATCACTGGTGTTGTGTACATACAGAGGTGTTGGCTCGGTAGGTCGTTCTCGGAGTAAGCCGATGAACGCATTTTGTGTGGTGCCTGCGGAAACCAATCCCAGAGTTTCAAGCCCATGCCATGAGTAATGTATGTATGGAATAGTCTTTGGCTTTGGAGTTTCGGGGGCCTGCAACTTCCGATAGTTACGTCCCTTGGGCTTCCTAGTTCTCCTGCCACCCCAACGCACGTTTCGGGTTCCATATGTCCGGACAGCAAATCCTAAGCCCTGCCCGCTAAGCCGAGACTGCTCCGAGGATGCTTAGTACCTAATACATGCTTAGTATCTATTACAGAAGCCTAATTAATTTCCGGTAACATTCCCTGGAGCTTCTGTACACTATACTTCACCCATAAACCTTATATATTGTTTTAAAGGCCCTTATAGTACCTGGAGCCTAGAGGGGTGTGTTCGAACAGTAGCCTTTTGTAGGTAGCGGGCCTTTATGTCAGCTACTTTCGGTGGTTTTGGTAGATCCTTAAGTGCAGTGCTTCATTGGGTTACCTTTTGGATTCGGGGCTGCTTGGTTTCTTATTGCGGGGTCATAGCCGTAGAAAAGGCTCCCACGCTATCCAAGAACAGGTACTATATGTATGTACATATATATATATATATATATATGGTCTAGGCAAACAGCACAAAAGAGGGTTCCTATGATGTTTTCAACTAGCATGCTGGTTTGTCAAAGCATCCCCCCGCATATAGCTACTTAGGGCCCGTTGAGATCTGCAAACGGGTTGGCTTGTGCAAAGCTGGTGCCGTTGATGTTTGGGCTCCCAGCGTCCTCCTTGGATGAAAGTTGGGATTCGGCGTTGCAGCCACGGTCTACATCGCAGAGTCTAGAATTTAGTGCCTGTCGTGACTGTGCTACTTGTATAGAAGCCTCAATGATTTCCAACACTTTTTTGGGGTTCCTGAATCACAGTAACTTCACGTATAATATGACACCGAAACCCTATCCTAACCATTACGGGCCGCCATAATAGAGCATGTGGCCTCTACCGCTCATGAAGCTCTGATTCTAACAACGCCCTAAACCCTTAACCAGCCCAATATTGTTTGACTTTGCAGGCTCCTTGTTTTGCGGTGCCAGCGCAAATCCCGTGAAATCCCAAAACCCCAGGCGGAGATCTTGCAAGATTTAGCTCCTGGAACTGCCTTCAGCCGCGACCTCGAGCCATGTGAGGTAAGTTATTCGAAGCTTGAAAACGTAGGAGGATTGTTACCCCAAAGCCCCGGTTAGGTCCGTAAGGCCCATACATTACATTGAGGGTGCCCTGACTTCTTTTCCTGCCCTTCCCTCCCCTTCCGCGGCCATGATGATGCCACAGAAGACCGACTTGCTGGAGCCCGAGGAGATAACATAGGGGCCTTATAGTAATGACCTATACAGTACATACTTTTTGTGGGGGTCCCTGTCATAGTAATAGTTGCTATTTTTTTTTTTTTTTTTGGGGGGGGGGGTCCTTATTATACTTATAGTATACCGGGCCCAGAACCCCAGTCTAATTATCAAGGCCCCTGTATTATAAAAGCCGACTCTCCGAGGTCGTTTCCCTGAAGGTCCAAAGCCAGACGAGTCAGTTTTTGGGTTTAGGGACTCGGGTTTAGGATGGTAACGTAGTTATCCAGCATTTATATTATGATTATGTACTTGGTCCCTTGGGGTTTTGCACAAATTTGCAGCTGGCTTAGCTGCAATGGCCGTATTCTTCCAAGTTCCGCTACGTCGAAGTGCAGTACATAGTTGCAGTACTGTAGACCCACGGTAATTGTTAAACCTGGAGACCAAAGTCCCGACAACGCCGCTCCTTAAGCCTTTATTGGCTTAGCTGCACAGAACATGGGATCGCAACGCCGAGGTCTTGCAGCGTGGTTAAATAGGATTCTCTTCAGAAAACCCCGGCCTCCGACAGACAAATCGAAATTGGACGAGTTTCAAAATGCGAAGACGGCCTTTACGAGCTGGAACGTGTGCGAAAGCCGCAATGCCGTGGCCAAGGGATGTAGAGCTGGAAGCTTTGCATTGCCTCATTGACAGCTGCTTCGAGTTTTAGTGCTAGATCTTTATCATACAGGTGCTGTCAAAAACTGCCTACCAAGCGAGCTGCAGGAGACCTCAACACGATGCCATCTCATCTTCTCCGATTCTGGCGAAGTGACTTCGGAATCCTGAACCGCGCACGACATCCACATGAACCCGTGTGCAAGTTCTGCAGTCCTAGTGACAGACCCGGGAATACAACAACCCTTCAGCACCCAAAGCAATCCGTAAAGACCCTTGCCATAGTTGAGACCAGCATCCTCCACTCCTTCGCACCCCAATCCATCAACCTGAACCCCAATAGCTACCTTCAATAGAGCAGGAACGCGGAGAGGTCGTAGGTCTTGTTAAACCTTTACCCTTGCATTTCAACTTCGCTCCCAGGAAGGCCTTTAAGGGCTTTGGCTTTGGCGCCAAGCCCGCCGGCAGCGGGTGGGCGGCCTAGCATTGTGCTGGTTTGTGGAGTTGCGCAATAAATTACCTAGACAGGTAATAGGATTTGAACACTGGTGTTACTGTCCCTGCTTTAGATCTTTATTTTTTGCGCTTTGATGCCGAGATGGCTTGAGTTGCGCAGTCTGGTCGTGGTGGGTTTCGACGGTGTTCCTTTACTCTTGAGCCTGCAGAGTTCTGTCATGGCCTGACATGCATAGAGGTTTTAAGGCTTGGGGGTCAGGGTTGTTATCGCGGGCTTTGCATGTGGGCTTGCGTTTTTAAGTTCCGAGGTTGGAGGTTTAGCGCCCATTTAGGGCTGTGCTGTAGGGCTTTACGCGGTGTTCGGCGATTGTAGTAAATATAGGCATGTTAACTTGTTTCAGCGGATGGATCTATGACTTTTGTGTGTTTTGTAGATAATGAGTCTTCATCGGGCAGATGGGCTTGCAGTTCCGGTTGTTGGGCCATTGATGGCGCTGTATAGCTTGTAATATAGGATGGTAGAATGACGAGCTAGGGGGGCTGTTGGCGAAGCATCGCAGTTTGTTCCGAGATCGAGTTTGGGTGTCTCGGGTTCAGGACGTGTGTTTTTGGTGTCTAGGCCATCTGGCATTTAGGGTGTTGAGGGTAGGTGAACAGCTGAGGTTCAGCAATTTGTTCATGGGATGGGCAGTCGCTGATCGCTAGCTCCTTTAAGATTCAATGCAGGGGTTTCAACAACAATGCTGTCCAAGTTTGTTGTTAATTGATTCTAGATTTCCCGGCTTTGTCGGGTGTAGCCAGCCTCTATCGCTATCGAGTGCTCCACTGGTTGAAGATGTTTTCAGCACGAGCCTCAACTTGCATAGCTCCAAATCTGACGTCTGGGGTTCAGGGTGTAGGATTCAGTCCCACGCATGCGAGAAGTTGGCAACGTAATTCTGTCTTGCTACATAACATACTGCATACGGCATGCAGGATCATGGGACCTAAAATGTCAGGCATCCGTGCAAATGGCCGCAAGGAGGACTACCATGAACAACCAGGTAACCCATCATGTCTTCCATTGGAAGCTTGCCCTCAAGGAGACTACTCTAAATCTTCAGAAAACCTACAAAACTCCAAAGTCATGAACCCTTTAAGTCTTCAGTCCCGACAAACAGGAAGCTGAGAAGCTCAAATCTCTCCGACCGGGCGGGGTGGTTAAATTTATCCGATTTCGGCTTTAATCGGGTTGGGCAGGCAAATTGAACCGATTTCCGCTTTAATCGGGCAGGGCAGTTAAATTTAACAGATTTCGGCTTCGACCGGCTGATGTGCGGCTCAACCTTGCTTGTAGAAAAGCCTCCCCCCCAACTGTGTTTAATTGTTTATGAACTATTACATCCCCTCGCCACAGGCCAGGTTGGGGGGGGGGGGGTGGGGGCGGTACTCGGGTCAGGGCAGGCCTCAGCTTACAGGATTTAGGATTGTTGAGGGCTGCGGGTTTATATGGTTTAGGGTTTATAGGGTGTGGGGTTTAGGGTTCATGGTTTATAGGGCTTATAGGGTTTAGGGTTTATAGGGCTTATAGGCTTTATAGGGCTTCTAGGGTTTATGGGTTTATCGGGTTTAGGGTTTATAGGGTTCAGGGTTTAGGGTTCCGTCTCAAGCATTGGTTTTTTGTTGTTGAATAATTAACTAAATTGTGTGGCGTCGCTTGTTCGTTCAGGAGTTCAATAGAGTGGCAGTAGCTCCTCGTCCTTGACAGGCTTCCTTCTTCTTTATGTGGATAGTACAGTAGCATATAGCGATGTGGAACACTGGGTCTCGCAATCAGGTTCCTCCATTCGGCATTCCTTATCAGGCTCCATCGTATGAGCCGAAACATGACAGATCGCCACCTTTCGCGAGGTGTTATGCAGAAATTAGAAACTGATAGTGCTAGTCCTGGAAGGAATTGCAGCATAGGTACTTGGGATTTGGATACAGCGTATGATGATTTGGCACATGGACCCTTGAAGTCCCCGAATACCTCAACCGCCATGCAAGGTCCCTTGCTTGACCTCGCCACGAAGATAAAACGAGTCTTCGGCGTTACGCTCAGCAGCACTGAACCCCAAAAGCTCCAAACCCTGAAGCCCTAAAGCCCCAAGGCCCTAAACCCAAAATCCAGATATAAAGCCCTCAGCCGTATTCCGTGGAGCCTTAACGCCCTAACCCTAAACCGTTAACCCACCTTACAGGCTTAATCCCAAAGCCCCTAGGCCCTCCACGCTATGAGCCCCAGTTAGAGGCGGGCATGGAGCAGCTCGGGATACGGATGGTCTACCGCCGCAGCTTCCTCGAGCTGCAGGCTCCGCGGTGTTTCCTCGTGTACGGGCGTGGGGGGGTCGGGGAGGAGGCGGGGGGGTTGGGGTTTAGGGGTTTAGTGTTTAGGTTTAGGGGTGCTTCAGGGGTTTTGGTTATAGGCCTGGTGGGGTTGAGTAGGGGTTTAGGGCCCTTTTTCTGCCTTATGCCTTGTGCACCGAATGGTGTAACTTGCGGGCTTGAGCGATCAGTAGGAGTATTCCCCAGGCTCTTACAGCTGTAGTCCAGAAACTCCCAAACTCTTTGAAAGTATTCAGGCCGCTGCTACGACATGTTTGCATTCGAAATATCATCTAATCGAACCTACACGTCCCTGTAAAGTCGGGTATCTGATGCCGTTGCTTGCAGACCGTGGCCCCATTCACTATCCGTTTTACTGAACCGTGAAGCCCCGTTAAAATGGATTTTGGTTAGGCCGTTTGAGTTCAAGGCGTAATACAAAGGTCTGTAACATCATGTATCATCAGTAAGCAGCTATTGTCCCAAGTGGATCGCACAATCCGTTGCCCGATTCAGGCCCCGATGTTTTGCATCGGGTTCTTCGGCTTAGGATCGTTTTCGTGCTTGTGAATACAGGTTTCAGGATGTTGGATGAATTACGGAGCTGCGAGACCAAAAACAAGCCCCTGGCAGCTGTCTTTGTCGCGTTCGTAGTGTTCACGGTCTTGCTGCAGGGTTTGGGGTTCAGGCATGTATAAGTGTATAGGCTTTTCGATTTAGGGCTTGCTTTAACCCCCGAAAACGGACTTGTACGAGAAAATCATAATAAGAAACTCCGGAAGCGTGGGTTTCTCAGTGTAGATTCCAGCGCCCCCGAGCTCATGACTGAAGCCACGAACCCCCCGACCAGAATCTTGGTGGCTTGGCGCATATAGGGTTTTGTAACGGCTTGGGTTTAGGGCTTGGGGTGTAGGCTCATGATGCAGGCTTTTGCGTTTAAGCCTTTGTTGTCTCCCCGCGCGTAAACCTCTAGGCCTTAAGCCCCACACCCTAAACCCAAAACACCAATCCCCAAACCCTGAACCCTTGCAGGTGGCAGACAACGAGGAATCGCAGAGGCTGCCGCGTTCGAAGAGCGCTTCGCTGCCCATCTCCCCAAGAGTCTTCGGATGCACTCAGACGAGAGATGCCCAGGGCTTGAGTAATTTAAGGATGCAGGTTCTTGTCTCTAGGTGTAACCCCAAAGCCTGCGAGATAGTCCCGTTACAAGCCCTCAGTTATGCGGGTTCGTAGGTGGTTTGAAGCCAAGTATGGTTGACATCCCTTCTTACTAAGCCGCACGTGTAAACATAACTTTAACTCCTACTCAATCCCATCCTTCAGCACCTGCAAAACCCCTATGGATGCGTTTAGAACTCTAGGCGCATGAACCCCAAACCTTAAAGCTAGATCAACCCTCGTCCGGGCTTAGGATGCGATCCTCCAGACAGCGAGCTCAGACGCATCGAGACTGTGAGGAGGTTATCCAGGCTGCCGCTCGGAAAAAGAAGCGCCATCAACAACAACTATTGTAATACGAATATTAGTAGTGATCATAATGTCAATAACAGTAAAAGTATTGTAAACTAGCAAGAAAGTAACACGAATATTAGTAATCATACCGTTACTAATAGGAAGAATATATTGTATAATAACGAGAATAACAAAATATTTGTGGCCATGACCAAAATGAGATATAGTAACGACAACCATCGTCATCATCAGAGTAATTATGATACCTTTGACAATAGTACTACTAAACAACAGCACCGTTCATAATCGTAGCAATGACAACCGGAACAATGTCAACAAGCATGTAGACTAATGATGGTACAAAGCAATGCCCCCAATAGTAACGACAAGAAGAATAGTCATGAACATAACAACAGTACTCTAGGCTTACAGTAGTAGCCTTTCACCCTTGTTATTTTGGGGTCTCCAGTAACTTCTCTCTATCAAAGCCGGGTTTTAGGAAGAAGGGTATCATTATTAAGGGTGTATTGTGGAGCCCAGTACTATGAACAACAATAATCATAATTACAACTAGCATAGAAAAAACAATAATAGTGGCAATCATGTGAAATTATCGCAATATTAGACGGCGCAGGTGCTTATTCCTTTTGAAAGGGGCGGTGCTCACGGAATTGTGTCAGGATCCTTCCTTGCTTCTAAGGGTTCATAAGATCTCGCAAGCTCTGTTTTTGCTCCCTTTCCATCATACAGGCTAAGCAGGGATTTATGGTCTAAAATTTTCACCAGATGCCATTGTTTAATTGTTATCATGGAGATTGTTTTCACTTTTGCGAGTAGCTTCTGATAATCATTACTTCTGCATTTCTTTACCACTTCGAAGTGTTTAGGGATGGAAATCATCAGTGCCATTGCTTGTCCGAGAACCGTACGTAGCACTCAGAAAAAGCTACGAAGCGCAGACGTAGGGTCAAGCAGGGCTCCTCGATCAGGAAGTAGCATTACGGTCTGAATTTCGGACCCTGGACCCATGCGCCACAGACTTCGTTTTGGTTCAAGGTCTAGGGTTCAGCATGTATAGGGTCCAGGTTTCTGGGTTCAGGGTTTAGAGTGTCGAGTTTCTGGACCCAGGTCTTCAGGTTTCACGGCTCAGCGTGTAGGGATTCAAGGTTAATTAAGAGTTTAAGGTCTGACCTGGGCAGCATGACATGGGAGCCCCA